GCCAGCCCCACAATCCCTGCTATACTTGAGCCCATCATCGCAGCCACCGTGTCAATCCATCTCGTTGAAGGCCTCCCCCTCTTTCGTCAACCCTCCACCCTACCAAGCATGACATCCTTCTCCAGGGAATGGTCCCTTCTTACAACATGACCAAAATAGGTGAGATGTAATAATCATAATTATAATTATGATATAATAATATATTATAATGATATTATAATAATCATAATTATCATCATAATCATAATCAGGGCTTGGTAAAATACTGAAGTACTTCCGTATTTATTGGTAAATGGTCATTGCCTGACTACTCTCATTTGCAAATACTCCAACCCCATTCACCACCCCTTTCATTTCCCCTCAGCATATCCAGACCCCCTACAATCACACAATTTAAAGGGTTAACACCTGACACATGCAAAGGCCTTTAGGAGCATGGTTCCCATCCTGGGGCTATCTGGATGGGGCCCACACCACACTTGTTGGATATTTTGATTATCACCCTTGCTAAAGACTGAATGTATATATTCATATGTTTTTCAGGATAAGAGATTTGTTTTTTTTTGACACTTACTCATTATCTCATCCCATGTCATAACATAGGGAATTATTTGGCATTGTATCAGTGAAAACGGCCCAACTCATTTGGGTAATCTCCCTTTCTTCACTGTGACAATGTGGAAAGTATCTTGGGTTTTTTTTTTTTTTTTTTTTTTTCACTTCATTTAAGGTTATTTTCTTCTTATCACAAACCAATAAGTCTAGTCTGTTATTACTTATCCTAACGCTAGTTTTAGGAGTCCCCAGATAGTGCAAACAGTTAAGTACCTGACTACTAGCCCAAAAGGTTGATGGTTCAAACCCACCCAAAGGTGACTCCAAAGACAGGACTAGCAATTAAGGATGAGGTTCAAACCCACCAGCCACTCCACAGAAGGAAGACTGGGCAATCTACTTCCATAAAGATTTACTGCCTCAGAAACCCAAAGGGAGTCACTATGAGTCGGAATTGACTCAGTACCAATGAGTTTGGCCTTTGGTTTCGCAGCCTTGAAAATCCTATGGAATAGTTGTATTCTGCACGCATGGGGTCACATGAGTCAGAATGAACTCGATGGCAACTAACAACAACAAAAATTAGTTTGTATTCTAGTGTTCACGCAGCCCACTGTTTCTTCATTGTTCTGTGTTACTTGTACAGGACGGCTCTTGCCTTGTTTTTCATAAATTCAGCATATTCATTATAAGAAGGCGTAGGCATCTGACTACATTATGGTGTTTTCTGGTGTAGTTGTGCCAGAATTTTTATCCATTAAAACACTTACTATTACATTATAAATAACTTTCCCCTTATTTATCCTTTTCATTACAATTAGTATATAACATTGACCTTTTTGAAATGTTGTGTGTAGGTACCTTATTTTACCTATGAATTTTATTTCAGAATATTCTGTAAAAAGATATTAGAAAATATTTGTTATAGAAAATGAATACTGGGTTTGATGAGATTGAGGTCCATGGATTTTTTTTTTTAATTAGTTTTAGTAAATTTAAATTGTTGTATATATAGCCATCACCACCATCCAGATTTGCTTTTGTTTTTTTAAATTGTGATGCGGGTGAAAGTTTACAGAGCAAATTCATTTTCGATACAGTAGTTCACGTTGTTGTTGTTATGTGCCATCGAGTCAGACCTGACTCATAGCGACCCCTCCTTGGGTTTCCAAGGCAGTATCACTATGGAAGTAGATTG